CTGTAATTTCAAATGGTAGCTCATTGCTTCCTACTTCCTATATTGCTTCCTATAGGAAGATTAGCAAAAAAATTACCAAGCTAGTTCGAACACAATATTCGGAATATTTTATCTCGACAAAATCAGCTAAGCTAAAAGTAGATCTTCTAAAATGTTGTAAATCATATAGACCTCCTACTTACTTGAGTCTCCCCAGCCTCCCTTGATATAGGGCATACCAGCCAACATCGGTCGTGGGTACCCACGGGATGAGGTTGTGAAAGCGCGACGCGGGCAGCGAAATCAGTACCCGAGCGCGAAAGCGTCGCTGTATCTGTGGTTAGTGTTTAATATCGTTGTTTGTTAGCTGATTTGTACAGAGGCTTCTTTTGCGTATCTGATGAACTTCATTTCGTACTCAGTTGCATGGGAATATCTTGTATTCCATATTTCACGCGAAATGAGAAGCATAAGAGCACTGATTTCTTTTCTTTCAAATCGATGAAGGGAAAGGTAAATCGATGATGCTTTCTGCGACTGTGACTTGAATTTGACACTTTGACTATATGCCAATTCTGGGTTTAGGAGACTTCAGAACGTTGCACACGTTGTTTAACTAATTTGTACTTGTTTCTCATCTAATCTCTAGTATTAAACCAACCAAATGGGTAAAGAACAAATAAAGCTGAATGTCTGTTTGTCTGTATGTCTGTATGTCTGTATGTCGGTATACGTATGTTCCGAATAGAAAATTCCATTTCTGAACAGACCCGGACCAAACTTGGCACACATACACATCGGGCCCCGGCGGGTGTTAAAGGCCACTTTTGTCATCGATCGACATCGATTTTATCGATTTTTGCAAAATTTGAGCTGCGGGGCTGGGAGTTGGCACAGGGGGGTAATCGAGCATGCTGATTACGAATATAATAATGACAGGGCCGGGCGGAGCCGGGTAAGTCAACTAGTAGATGATAATTTTCTGCTATGCATGAGCAAAAGATGCGCTTCACCGTCCCTGCTTAAATATTCTTCATTCGAACAGCGCCACCATCTGAAATGTCTAGTAATCGATACAACTACGGAATCAATGCCTAACAAGAGAAGATAAGTTAATCACGGGATGAATCAACGTCATGAGTCTAAGAACAGGGCTAACTTTCGCGCTCGAGTGCAGTCTCCTTTGCTCGCGCGCGCGCTGCCTCTTCCCCTGGGCCTGTAGTAAACCCCTCGTGGTTGTCACAACATAGAGGGACTATGTCGTGATAGCTCGGAGTATCTCGCAAGACTATAGCGAGCTATCCGCAGGGCGCCGCAAAACGAGCGCCTCCGCGCGTCATTGAACCGCTGATGACCGCGATAACAGCGGTCACACGCGCTGCGCTATGAGTACAGATATGCCGAGGGGTATTTGCTTAGCAAGGCAAGAATGTAGTATACTATGCTTGCCAGAGCAGGTAAATCAATCAAAGGAAATCCAATAACTAACTATCCTCGCGTGTGCGCGCCTCTTTCTCCATATTTTGACTCATTATCTCATGTTCATCAAACTGATAGGAAAACGCAGTTGATCTATGTCTGCTGCAAAATTATGCTTATCTTTGTACACCATGCTGTAAGAAGCGCCATTATCCGCTATGGGAGGACCATATTTGACTGTTGCCCTCAATAAAAATTGAGCGTGTCAGCCCGTGCCAGATTCGTGCCAGCTCCGTGCCAAGACACAGAAGGTCTAGCAGCGCGCACATTCGCTGCGCTGTATGCTACTACGCCGTGCTTTGCTAGGGAGAGGATACATGCAGCAGATAGAGCAGTTGCAGCAAATCAGTATGGGAAAACGATATGCATGCCTTATCCGTAAGTATTGTTGAAGGGTTAGCTACTACTTTTGCAATTATTGTGAAACAGCTCAACAACTCAACATAGCTTGTAGTTAGCGCAGTGCCAGTGTGAGAGGCCGGTGTGCTAGACGTGGGGGGTACAAGTTCCAGGCGACACTATCTTTTTTTGCTGGCAAACTGAATTTTGCAAAGGAACGTGAACTAGAATTTTCTTTTTGAAAGAAAATGGAATTTAAAGTAGAATACATATTGAAAGTGTACAAGAAAAATCAAAATATTATCATCAGCATTCAGTCCGTTCAAAAATGGGCTATTCCATTAGCCATAACGCCAGACGGTCCTTTCTCATAAACACGAAAGGAAACGAGAGGTGCATGGCTAACGAACAGCAACCAGCAAAGATATGTGGTCGAAACTGCCAAGAATGATGAAAAGATCAAGAATTTGCGAAAGTTTGGCACAAAAGAAGGGACTTTTTGCTCAAACAAGGTGCATAGCAAAAATAAAGAAGAAAAACTGCATAAGTACGAAAAATATGGCTAAGTATGAGTCTAGCATACTTTTTAGTTAAAATAAACTCACCTTTTTTCAAATACCAATGCGGCAGCAGCAGAAGTACTTGGAGAATAGGGAGAGGCGCATTGCTCGAACAGTTAGGCGCTTATCAGCTGTTGATATTGATTGCGGTTGACGTGCGTTATGGAGAATTGTGTGCAAGTGCGACCTATTGCGAGGTTGGCGTAGTCGAGCTCTAGTCTTGCGCTATGTCTCTGCGTCTCTATGATGGACAAAGTATTTCGCCGTCTTGTTCGTCACGACATGTCGCAATATGTCGTGACGACATATCGCGACAAAGTGCGACTACCCTGACGCTACGCATCGATTGCATCCGTCGGCAATGATAAAGGATAGCCGCTTTGCCAGCCTCGCTCCATGATAGTCAGCACATGTCACAGCATACTCCGAGCTATACGTCGCGACGTCCGGGGAGTTTACTACAGGCCCTGGGTACCACGACCGATGGTGGTTGGTATGCTTTATATATTCCTATGTAATTTAAGCGTCTGTGAATGTGTATGGATACGGAAATGGCAAACGGTCGATTCGTTTATCATCTCTCCCAAAATCTCCATTTGTTATCGAGAAAGAGTCAGATTGTGTGCTGTTGATAAAACAGTATTGCAACAAGTGTTTATTCGTAAAACACAATAGCCGAAGATTTGTTGGTAAGCTTCTTCGACCTGAAATTCCGTTTGCTCAGGCAACATTTGGAACAAGAAAACTATTCTCAGCATCTTGAACTAAATAGTCAGTAGAGCCTGCTGCTACGCATAGTCTTTTCATACAGACCGATTATGTGGTCAAGCTAAAACAGTTTCGAAAAAGCAATAGTAATATTTTGAGATACAGCTAGTCCTGAGAGTTGCATGAAAGTACTCGTTTTACAGCACTTTTGATGAGAAATTCTGCAATTGCCGTATCTTTTGAGTTTCAAAACTTAGTATGGTGTGATAGAAAATCATTTTTTTTTTGTGATGAAGAATCTGCATTTCTGGGAAGAAAAAATTTATTTCTTCTTACCTGGGTGGACAACTGGAAATTGCACTAATTGTGCAGTGGCGCGATGATTTTCTAAAATGGCAAGTTGAAATTTGCATTGCATTCCTGCTCACATCTAACAGTTCAACTCAAGTTTTCTGTTTTAGTTTTTTGCAGGGGGATAGCGAGTAATTTCACATAATTTCCAATTTTTAGCTTCAACATTTATAACTGCGCCCATGACACGCACGTGCTTATTCACTCCATTCTCTCCAAATAACAAAAAGGTGAAACATTGTCTTGTTTTAAAACAGTGAAACGAACAAAGTGGGCGAAGTAGATAAATACGGCGAGTGAATCCATGTCCACTATACGCAGCTCTTTAAAAACCTGAGGAGCTGCTTACAAAGGGCTGGCTACTGCTTTGATATACGCGCAACCGAAATTGACTGAAATCATGACAAATTACAACATTCTTTTATCAAGCTGAGACTAGCGCACGGTCTATCATGCAAGTCGCATAGGTTTCTGGACAACTATTTGCAACAACACGATCTTTACTCACCGGTTGGGGAATGACTTCATGGACATCCTTTACATCCGCAGACTGAAAAAAAAGTAATTTTAGTAGCATTCGAAACTTAGCTGTTATCTCTGTCTCAATGGCGATGCCGTGATGCCACCAACTTGTTCGGCTCGTATCCGCATAACCGCGGAGGCTGCATAATATCACGGTAAGGGCATTTTTTCATTTGCGCAGCTATCGAAGGCCTGTGGGTATAGAAAAATTGCGTTGAAAACGTTCGCGAAGACGATCAAAACCGAGCCAGCTTGCTGGCGAGACATGGGCCGCAGGAAACGGCCACCCTGCCATTGAGACAAACATATGTATGAAAAGTTGTTTGCACACATACAGTAGAGAAGGTTGCTTTGCTGATGTATGCAAGTGCGCAATGTCCGCGATGCTCATGGTGAAAGTGGAAAACGTAATATGCGTCATTACTCAAGCTTTCTCAACCGTAATTTTGTCTATACAAAAAAGCGCTAAATGAAAACACAAGAAAACAATGCTGTGACTCTGAAATTAGCTCATCTTGCAAATTGTGCAAATGCATACACTAGCGAGAAAAACTTACTCTAAAGTCCATGCCGGACCAAGTGGCAATAGCAACTTTAGTTAAGGTAACGCAGCGCGCAGAGGAGGATACCGAGTGTTAGTATTATCGGGGTTTTTTGTGCAAACCAGTTAACTGATTGAAATCTGGTGCGGGTGTTACACACGTGTGCTGATTAGGTATATAGGTGCCAGATATATCCGGTTCAACAGATCCTTAATTCACCCATTCGCTATTGGTCAAATTGCCGAATTGAATAGCGAATGAGCTGAACCGGATAAATCGGTTGAACCGGATAAGCTTGGCATTTGGCTTAGATATACTGAAGGTTTTGAGACCTATCTCCATAAGGGGAACGGAATGGTGAACTTTATAATGTGTATCGATAGGGACAGAGAGGAGCCACTTATGCTAGCTTGCTACTAGATAAAGAACACTTATATAAAAATGTAGCGAAGGACAAGTCAGGACAGAAGTTCTAAAACTTGCATTGAAGAAAACTGCAACATATGGTACATATCTTTAGATACCGTCATCGCTAAGAAATTCGGGATGTTTCAAGCACCTCTCATACGTGCAAGTCCTGATGGCGAGCATATTCTTCAAGCGTCTAGCTTTTCATAAAATGCAGTTTTGCTTAGTATCCCAAAGCTTGTGCCAATAATTGCTTTAGAGCAATAAAAACTTGGAAATCAATGATGCATGCACTTGAATTAATACTGCTAGAAGCAAACTCACTGAGTCGAAGGACACCTGAAATATTCTGAATCAGACGACATCACTGGAAAAGATTAGCAGAAGAAAATAGATTTCAGGATGATCTTACAGGATATTGAATGATCGAAAAATTAACGTCTAGGTATTAAAAGTTTTCATGCATAAAAATTACGATGTTTTGACGATGCCACGCTAAAAAAAAGTTGAGTCTGTTCTGAGCGTTCCCTTTGAATTACAAACCCGCTTTTATAAGAGTGCGCGAAGAACATTTTCTAGTATACTATGAATTTGTAGATTAGTTTAAATGTAAACGATTATTGAAACTCAGAAACTCACGTTCAAAGGAGGGTTGAGCGTTTCACCAAGCTGAAAAGTTGTAATTACATCGGATATGAAAGTTTGTGCACTTCCAAGTTCTAGCTAAAGGCCACTCCGAGAAGAAGGCAGCCGACCATTCAAGCGAGGCGTGCGCAGGCGAAAAACCCTGAGGCTTAAAGGCAATACATCGGCAGAATGAGACCCGTGACAAAACAAGGTCACAGGGTAGGAGCCTTTATATGGAACCTATCGGCCAAAGTCCGATCTTTCTCTGCCGCTTCTAACTTCCGAAGTTTCAAAGCGAAAGCAGCGCTCATCTCCTGTCCCATCCGAACCCGCCCACCCCATGGACGAGCGAACGCGAAACCCGTCATGGCGAAGAGCAGAGTCGTTGCGGGACCTCATGTTTATAGCATTACGGCTGGCGCTCTGACCGCGGACATCACTCGTCCATGGGGTGGGCGGGTTTGGAGAGGACAGGAGATGAGCGCTGCTTTCGCTTTGAAATTTCGGGGGTTAGAAGTGGCAGAGAAAGATCGAACTTTGGCCCAAAGGTTCCATTATGGGGCTCCTACCCTGTGAACTTGTTTTGCCACGGGTCTCATTCTGCCGACCCACTGCCTTTAAGGCATACTTCCAGCGATTCCTTGTAAACGTTATACTGCGCGATTTGGCGATTTGTCAGATGACTACAAAGTAACCGTGTGCGGACTTCAAATGTATAGGCGTATAGATTCTGTGAATTGTTGCAAAGGCATCAAGTCTAACTCAAATACAACGCGCTTACGACCATCGTGAAGACTTGCTGCAATTAGATTGCACCGCGAATGATCGCTTGAGGTATGCCTTAGACCTAACGATGAAAGATGCTCGAAGGTCGCGCCCGCAAACGCTTCGCAGAATGAACCGACCCTCTTCGTCATGGGTGCTTTTACTAACACTTGGGACTCATGCCATCTATATAACGACTGCAACAGTAAGATCAGGATCTTACCTTGTCAATTGCTTCCTTTAGCTTTTGGTCCTGAAAAAAACACGTGCTTTCAAAAATACTTGAAATCTACTTGTACAATTAGCAAGTCGTTCACGTAAAAATTTGCTACAGATCGTTTATTTTGGAGTATTCTCCCACAATATATGAAAATCCAGGGCGCATGCGATCGTTATTATATAGAACTGTCAAACTGAAGTGAACTGACAATGCTCAGTGTTGTTGGTGTGCGTTTCTTTGTATGTATGTACTACAAAAGATTTTCCTGCCAACCCAGCTCAAATTTTATTCGCAGATTCGAGCAGTGAGGGGATGTGAAGGGAGGGGGAAGTTGTCATATTCTACTTTCAATCGACTGGTACCTCATTGATTTCTGTTTTGAGCTGGGAAGCTGGCATCGGAACTGGGAGTGCGTGAGCATGAGGATTGCGAAAACACATTTAAAAAAGTCTCACTGATTTCATGGAAGGGGGAGTTGCAATACGTAAGCCGGAGGGCCAGGACTAAGTATCGGTCGTTAATGGGCGTAACACTAATATTATACTGAAAACTTATGGGTAAAAGTGGGACGGAATGCTACAGTTTAAAATGATATATCAACAGAGTCCGAGCCGAGCAGAGTGTTAGCTGGATGCTAGATACTGTTCTTGCAGGGTGTCACGAATGAAGGTTTCGGAACAAAAACGTTTTCATATGTAATTTGCTAGTAAGGGGAAATTAACTGAAAAATAGTCCGTGTTTCTAGGTATTAATACAGCTAAGTAAAAATCGGGTGCGCTAAGCGATCTCACAGATGTGCAAAGGCTGATTGCGAATGGATGTCCAAAACGTCAGCTCTTTACAAAATGTTATGTTAACAATAAGTATCTTGAGGTCCGAATAGTAAGCAAGTACCTTTCGTGAACAAAAGAAAAAAGTTTATATGAAAATTGGTTGGTATTTGCAGGATTATCTCTAGCATAGGGCTCTAAAAAAGATTCAAAATTTGAAAATTTGGCCATTTTTTCACCCCGAAAATATTTTGTGTATAACTACATTGGACTTTATCCATCTCAAAAAGGACTGAGTCAATGTTTCGATTACTGCAAATATCGTTTGAGTAGTATTGCACATATCTTTGGCCCATCTTATGCTTGCAGATCCGCATAGAATGGATGTTTGCTGAGAAGACTGCTCACAGAGGCAGAGACAAGAACAATTGTGCTTTCGTGCGTGTATGACAAAATTTGAGTGCAGCTGCGAGTTTATAGATAGAGGGCCCTCTTCTAAATTTCTTTGGAATTTAAGCGATTTTTTTGTCTAGCACGTGAGATTGTCAGCTATATAGAATCTATGATTTTCTGTGTTTGGAAATAATTTTTTATGTGTGAAACAGATACGATTTGACATTTATAAAAGTTGAAAGTAAAATCAAGCATTAAAATCAAAGCTTCCTTTTACACAACAGCACAAAGATTTTGTGACTGTCTAACAAATGCAAAAAATTAAATCGAAAAACGACTGTTCCATCTGTTCGGGAATTATCGTTACTAACCATTAGCCAATCAATGTTGTAGATGCGACTACTCTTTCCTACTTTTTTCGCTTTTTTCGCGAAGAATTTTACAGAGAGAGGAAGGATTCTAACACTTCAATTTGCTTCCGTAATGTAACATATAAATCGGTCTTTGAGACTTACTGAAAAAGATGCAATGTTTCGAAGCGTTTGCGTGCAAATCTTTCCCCTATTTCCTCAAACTCTATAAGCTCCTCACAAAATAACATTTGAAGTCATGCATTATATAGATAACTAGCTGGCTTACCCGGCTCCGCCGTATCCGGACCAAACTTGGCACACATACACTTCGGGCTCCGGCGGGTGTCACAGTCCACTTTTCGTTATCGATCGATGTCGATTTTACCGATTTTTATCGATTTTTTGCAGAGTTCACCTACAGGGCTAGGAGTTGGCACAGGGGGAAGTGAGCATGGGGATTCCGAATACAATATTAGTTTTCAGAATTATCGTTTACTTTTATTGATTTTATCGATTTTTTGTAAATTTTGACATGCGAGGCTGGGATTTTGCACAGGGGGGTAATCGAGCATGCTGATTACGAACACAATATTAGTTTTCAGGATCGTTCATTACTTTTATCGAATTTATCGATTTTTTTGTAAAGTTTGACCTGCGGGGCTGGGAGTTTGCACAGGGGGTAATCGAGCATGCAGATTACGAATACAATATTAGTTTTCAAGATCGTCCATTACTTTTATCGCTTTTATCGATTTTTTGAAAATTTGAGCTAGGGGGCTGGAATTTTGCACAGGGGTGTAATCAAGCATGCTGATCACCCCCCTTGGGAGTGATCAGCATGCTCGATTACCCCCCTGTGCCAACTCCCAGCCTCCTAGCTCAAACTTTGCAAAAAAATCGATAAAATCGATAAAAGTAATCGATAATCCTGAAAACCAATATTGTATTCGGAATCCCCATGCTCGATTACCCCCCTGTGCCAACTCCCAGCCCCGTAGGTGAACTCGGCAAAAAAATCGATAAAAATCGATAAAATCGATATCGATCGATGACGAAAAGTAGCCTATGACACCCGCCGGGGCCCGAAGTGTATGTGTGCCAAGTTTGGTCCGGATCGGTTCAGAAATGGAATTTTCTATTCGGAACATACGTACACACACACAGACAGACAGACATACAGACAGACATACAGACAAACAGACATTCAGCTTTATATATAAGATGTAATACATAAAATATTCCTATACATGCACATAATTAAATACTATTGAATATTATATTGAATACAAACGATCTATCAATACTCAGGAATTTTCGCTATACGGATAAAAATGTAGTAACTAATGAGTTTGAAAGATATCTTTGGATGGGAGAGAGTGTTGCATTCAGAGTTTTATTTGCTAGTACTTGGAAACTCATGTAGTCCCTCGATTCAACGCATGGCCCATTGTAAGTCACATATGTCTCACAACAACTTATTGCAACAATACGATCATGACTCACCAGATGTTCTCCACTGGGCGCAGTATTTTTCTGAAAAAAAAATGCTTTCAGTAACAGGGACTAACTTGTCACTTATTAGGCCATTCACAAAACGGAGATGTGTCTGTCATTGGTGTTCACGTAAGAATTTTCTCGAGCATAGGACAAAGAAGAAGAAGGTCCATACTCAGTTTTCCTTTACGATTGATAATGATCGCATTGTTTGTGCGAACTGGGAAGCTGGTGTTAGTTCAAGCCTAGTTCAATGCAGAAAATTGGTAGCAGAACAAATTTGTCAAATTTTATCGTTGAAAAGAAGTCTCTTTTAAGATACGTTTAACACCAGCAAAAAATGAGAAGAGTATTGCAAAAGATTTCTTCCACAAATACTCAGAATAAACTTGGTTGATTTTCTAAAAAAGCGATAAGATTCCAGAAAATGGAATTTCCAGCTGCCCAGAAGTTTGGACAACCTAGTTAGTAGCTAAATAAAATTCGCTCTCTTTAATTGTTTTGCGAAGAAACGTACCAAGAAGAGATCATTCTAGTACTTTGAAATGCCAACAAGCAGAAGTGCAACTAAAAAGGGAACTCTGGACACTGTCGCCGCTAAGGAGAATTAGGATTTGTTTCAAAGCCTCTCTTCCATGCATGCAAATTTCGATCAC